ACTACTTTATGGATGACAAAACTGAAATTCAGGGAGGAGAAAAAGTAATCTTCCCAAGATTTTATAGTTTGCAGGTGATAGAGATGACATTTGATACAGGGAATTTAATGCGTAATTTTTATTCACCAATAGGAGGTACTACTGTCTCTACTATTTCCTTTGTTAATGCTCACTGATCTTGACATTACAAACTGGATGGTGAATTAGTGTTGGTGACAGGGGAAGTAATTTTTTACATCAATGTAGCTCTAAGAGTCTATTACCTTGCCTTGAATCCAAATTGAAATCTATCCAAAATGATTAGCTGATGACTGTCAGGATTGATTCTCTATTTGTATTTTCATAACCTAAAGATATGAGTTCAAAATTATATTATTTTAAAATTTACTCCATAAATATTTATTGAATGCCTATTATGTGAATATCAAGCACTAATGTTAAGTAATAGAAATAGAGTAATAACTAAGATCTAGTTTCTGCCTTAAAGGAGCTATTAATCCAGTAAAAAAAGAAAAAATGGTCATATATATTAGCTTCCTATGGCCACTATAAAAAATTGCCACAAACTTATGGCCTAAAATAATAGAAGTGTATTATCTTATAATTCTGGAGGTCAGAAGTCTATAATGGGTACTCAGCCACAGTGACTCACACTGCTAAGAAACTGCGGCTTGGAGGCTGAGGCCATAGTAGAGGCCTGGGTTCAGTTCCAGGCCCATCCTCAACAGGCCAGGCACTGTGATGTGTGCCTGTGGTCCTAGATGGCTGGGAGGCTGGTCAAGAGGATTTCAAGGTGATGAGACCCTGAAAAAAAAATCTCTCTCACAAATAAATACATCAAAAAACTTTAAAAAAAAAAAAAGATTTGAAGTACATCTAAATGAGCTAGAATCAAAGTGTTGACAGGATGCATTCTTTTCTAGATTCTGGGGGAAGGGGATAATCCTTGCATACTTTTTCTGGCTTCTCCATACTGGTGGTTTCTTTGGCTCATGATTCTCTTTGATCTTCAAAGCCAGCAATGGCCAGTCTAGTTGTTGTTGTTGTTGTTGTTGTTTTTCCCATATTGTATCACTCCAGCCTTTTTCCTGTTGCCACTTTTCCTCCTTTGGCTCTTCTTCTTCTCCATTTAAGAAGGCTTGTGATTACATTGGACTGTCTCCAATAATAGAGCATAATCTCTCTATTTCATGGTCATTAACTTAATCACGTCTGTAAAAATTCTTTTTCCATGTAAAATAACATATCACAGATTTGGGAATTAGAATGTTGACATCTTTGGGAGGCCATTATTCTGTCTACCACAACATATGAAATAATACCAGATGGTACAGGTGTACTAAGTGCAACAGTGCAAATAACAGACATTTTTGTGTCTCTGGAATGGATGGAATCAGCTGCTTAGGCATGGGGTTACATGAAAGTTCTTAGCATTGATCTTTAGTCAAAGTGGGCTTCACCTACTGGCACTATGGCCAGCGAAATGTTTTTGTTCTTATTCTTTCTGAGAGTGAGTAGGAAGTTTGTGAGTGGAGGAGTAGTTCTTTGTCCGTTGCCAAGAGAACAGAGGGGAAAGACATATTAGTTGGAGGGAATATATTAATATGGAAAACATCTGATTTTGGAGGGGAACCATGGCCTTATGGAATTTCTAGAAGATTAAATTTGAAGAGGGAGATGGTAGGGAGTAAGACTGGTGAAATGAGTCATATTATGAAAGGCTATGTGTGTTGGGCTGAGAAGTAAAAAATAGCAAAAAGCATTATCCTTTCTTGAGACTTGAAGGTAAAGGGAGCACTTTGAATTATTTACTTTTTACATTTAAGATAGGCAATACTAGTTTAAGAATAGCTAGCTAGGCTGGCTTCCAAATTTGGTGTGATATGTACCTCTACAATTGAAAAAGCAGATTGCAGTATGAATAAAACACCATTGGAGGTAAAGGGACTTCTTTTACAGACACAACACCATAAATGAGTTTGGAAAGTAAAGTAAAACAAGTATTTAATTATTTACAAGTCACTACTGGCTGTTGTTGAACATTAAAGCAAGTCTTACTTAATTTTGGGCTTCTTCATTCTTCTATGTTTCTTGGAAAGTTACCTGACTTGTTTAAAATAGGTCTGTTTTAAGTCCTAGAATATTTATTTGTCCATCCTTAGTTTCCTTTTCACTCTCTGAATCATGTTCGATTTTCTGAAGTAGAATATTCCTGAAGGAGTGAAATGAAACATTTTGGACTTTTTTTGCTTTTTAAAGCGAATAAATTGTAGCCATAGTGTCATTTTCTTTGAGAGACGGATTGTTTTTAAAGGAAAGTCTTTTTAAGCTTGACTGGCGGCTTTATCTCACCATTGCTTTCAATAGAGTCATGTGAAATCTGTACCCATGAATGGAATTAATTACCTGGTCTATTTTGCTTAATCTTCATGAATTATTTCTGGAAGGAAAATTGTATTGTATGAGTGCAATGCAAACTGTTAACTATAATAACACATGTATAAATGTCTCTACTGTTTTTCAGTAATTCTATTGTCTTAAGACAATAATTTTGGTGATCAGAGAGTCAAATGAACATAAGAAGCTTACAAAATATTATCCATTTTTTTTTCTTTTTTTAAAACAAAAAATACGAATTATATTCAACTAACTAAGCTGTATGACAGTGAAGCACTGTGGGTCTTTTCATTTAGCTGGTCCCTCAATCTATTTATTCCAGAGATGCAATTAGAAGTCCCCTGGCAAAGCACTGCCCTGTATTGATTTGCAGGAAATAAAAATTTGCATGACAATACAAATTCTGCTTGCACGTGGGGGCAGGGTGAAGTCATCACTTTCCAGCTGTCATTACTATATGGAATCAGCTAAATCTTATCATTTGTCTGCGGTTTAGTGTGTTTTCAACTGAAATATATGGCAGCCAAGATTTATAATCAGAAATGTCATCTTTTCAGCCAGATTTGACAATGGCATTTCATTTACACTGCAATCTGCTTTTTCACTCAGTGAGGTACAAATCACACCAAAATTGGAAGGCAGCCTAGATGCTTTTAAACTAGTGTTGCCTATCTTTAATGTAAAAAGTGAATAATTACAGGATCAATATAAATTGTTAATCTCCCTCAATCTGTCTTCTCTCCCCACTCATCTGTGGAATTATTTTTAAATCACTGATAAGTAACATACTGCTAAGTGGTTCTACAAGGGTTTGGAGTTAAGAGTGTCTCCCTTCCAATACTCCTCTACCCTTTGTCAGCTGATTGAACTAGGGAAAATTCATTCACTCTTCTGTGCCTCAACTTTCTCATCTGTAAAATGGGATAATAATAGTAGCATACTTCACAGAATTATTGGAAACATTGGGACCAGCAGTTGGCATAATGGCTATGTCGCTGGACTCCCATGTAGTCGACTGCGGTTCATGTCCCGGACCCAATGGCTTAAAACTCACACCGGGCACGTGTGCGTGCATGCCCAAGATCCTGAGAGGAGAATGGAGGAGAAGGGATTGTGGCATGGCTCATGTTCGATTTTCTGAAGTAGAATATTCCTGAAGGAGTGAAATGAAACATTTTGGACTTTTTTTGCTTTTTAAAGCGAATAAATTGTAGCCATAGTGTCATTTTCTTTGAGAGACGGATTGTTTTTAAAGGAAAGTCTTTTTAAGCTTGACTGGCGGCTTTATCTCACCATTGCTTTCAATAGAGTCATGTGAAATCTGTACCCATGAATGGAATTAATTACCTGGTCTATTTTGCTTAATCTTCATGAATTATTTCTGGAAGGAAAATTGTATTGTATGAGTGCAATGCAAACTGTTAACTATAATAACACATGTATAAATGTCTCTACTGTTTTTCAGTAATTCTATTGTCTTAAGACAATAATTTTGGTGATCAGAGAGTCAAATGAACATAAGAAGCTTACAAAATATTATCCATTTTTTTTTCTTTTTTTAAAACAAAAAATACGAATTATATTCAACTAACTAAGCTGTATGACAGTGAAGCACTGTGGGTCTTTTCATTTAGCTGGTCCCTCAATCTATTTATTCCAGAGATGCAATTAGAAGTCCCCTGGCAAAGCACTGCCCTGTATTGATTTGCAGGAAATAAAAATTTGCATGACAATACAAATTCTGCTTGCACGTGGGGGCAGGGTGAAGTCATCACTTTCCAGCTGTCATTACTATATGGAATCAGCTAAATCTTATCATTTGTCTGCGGTTTAGTGTGTTTTCAACTGAAATATATGGCAGCCAAGATTTATAATCAGAAATGTCATCTTTTCAGCCAGATTTGACAATGGCATTTCATTTACACTGCAATCTGCTTTTTCACTCAGTGAGGTACAAATCACACCAAAATTGGAAGGCAGCCTAGATGCTTTTAAACTAGTGTTGCCTATCTTTAATGTAAAAAGTGAATAATTACAGGATCAATATAAATTGTTAATCTCCCTCAATCTGTCTTCTCTCCCCACTCATCTGTGGAATTATTTTTAAATCACTGATAAGTAACATACTGCTAAGTGGTTCTACAAGGGTTTGGAGTTAAGAGTGTCTCCCTTCCAATACTCCTCTACCCTTTGTCAGCTGATTGAACTAGGGAAAATTCATTCACTCTTCTGTGCCT